ATGCCCAAAAGGTTTTATGTGCAGAGTTCATGCTAGTTGATCCAGCTGGCCACTGGTGGGAGTCCGTTTCACGGACTAGGACTGAGGCACAACAACGTAACCTCACCTGGGCACGATTCAAAAAGGAGGTGATGGGAAAATACTTTCCACAAGCCCTGAGAGATCAAAAGGAGACAGAGTTTCTGCAACTTAAGCAGGGAAAGATGACATTGGTTGATTATGAGAGGAAGTTCGAACAACTTTCTAGGTATGCAGCGCATCTAGTGAATACAGAGCAAAAGAAAGCAAGAAGGTTCGAGCTCGGACTACGCCCAGAAATTGGAGGAATCATAACATCTCATGAATTTACCACGTACAGTCAAGTTCTACAACGAGCTCAAGCAATTGCAAATCAACTAGAACTCGATCAAACAACTCAAGAAAGTAATGAATTTTCAGGAAAGAGGAAATGGAATGGGGCGAACGAAGGTAAAGGAAATGGACAAAATAAGAGGGCTAGTTTTAAAAGGCGGTTAGAGTCAAACAAGCTGAATAGTGTTCTTACTCCTTGTCCTAAGTGCAATAAGGCTCATAGAGGCGAGTGTTTGTATGGAAAGAATGTATGCTATCGATGTGGAAAGCAAGGTCATATTGCTACCAATTGTCAGGAACCCCCACCAAAGAGGGACAACGATCAAAGCAAAAAGGGACCAGCTAGAGTCTTTGCTTTAACCCAACAAGAGGCAACTGAGAATTAGGACATGACGGCAGGTAATCTATCTATATCTGAATTACTTGCCTATATTCTTATATGCTTAGGAGCTGTTCATTCCTTGTTTACCCTATTTTCATTACCAAATCTCGAACTAGTCGCGAAGGAGCCAGTAGTGTTCTAGAAGTTACTATTCCAGTGGCAGTACACTTAATACAAGCAAATAGATAGATAGGTCAAGATAGAAAAGAATGTATAGCTAACTTACACCTTTTAAAGATGAAGTATTTTTATGCCATCCTAGGGATGGAAAACTTTTACGCAACAATATGAAGCTTGGAGAAGAAGATAAGATTTTAAAAGTCTGGAGAAGATGAGATCAAGGTCATGTACCTCAAACTTTTCACCAGGATAAGAAAAATTTTGAGGACGAAATTATTTTAAGGGGGTGAGATTGTAACATCTCGAAAATTTTAGAATATAACTTAATTATATTATTTGTTATATTGTTATAAAAAAATAATAATAATAATAAGGACCAAGATAAAATAGGTTTTTGAATTCATATTTTATTTTGGGTCAAATAATTGAATTTTGGTAGAGT